CTTTATCTACAAACTTATAAAGCCACATAGTTGTCCCTTACGCTACTGTAGTGCAGACTGAATATGAAGCAAATATACTTCGCGTAGTAAGAGAACACACAAATCGCTCCGTAGATACATGTATACAAAGTTTTGACATGTAAGGTATTCAACGTTTCTTCTCTATCGTAAACATTATCATCAGATTTTAACTTTGGTGGCAAACAGGTACTTATCTCATTAGAATGATAATTCTCATCAGATATCCTCTGTCATCAAAGAGAGTTGCCCCAAGTATCTTTAAGTAATCTTCCAGTAAAATCTTCAAGACACAAACTCTCAAGCTTAAGGTTTTCGAGCCTTTTATTAATGTATTTTTTTTTCGTTTTTTTTCATCCTTCAATTGCTGTAATTATAAACCATGATTATTTTAGCGTATGTCCGTGGGATACAAACAGGCGCTATCTTACGTTATAGGCGTAGAAAAAAAAGCGATGACAGTCAAAATCTGATGTCCTTTTACATAAAATTAAATTACATAAAGTTAACGTATTAATAGTGACTCAGTATTTTGAAACATTGAACCAATTTCCAGAAACACAGTAAGCAAAATTCAATGGTTTAGCCTGCGTAACCGTGTGTTAAATGTGTACGAATCGACCAGAATTCATTTGAAATTAATGGATCGCTTACATCTCACGCTTATTTTGAATCCAATTTAAAGATCTTGACGCAATGGCTTCAAAGCGTAACTATAAAGCTTATTTAACTAAGAGCACGGGCACCTCATTCAGTCAAGACGAAATTTGTTAAAATGCTTTTATAGATTTTAAAAGTTGACCTGTTTTACTACGGTTAATGTTTGCCTACAACATTAACAAGCTAAAAGAAAGGTATTCAGAACTGCAATGTGTTAAAACAAGTATTTAGAGCAGCATAGGTAAACACAAGTTGTAAACAACTTTTTACACCGTTTAAGTACATCACCATAAATATTTTACAGGAATGTTAGATTTGAAATCAAAATCACAGTTTCTCTCGGCGACGTTTTCCTTTTATATAATGCAAACATATTCAAAGAATCCTATGAAAAATAGTAAGCGCAGAAAAGAAACCCACTCTCACCGTAACCCCCAAAGGCTACTGCCTGATATTTCAATATTCTAACTAAGACTAGTCTTCCAATCATTTGATGTTCATTTGTCTCTAATTTACAATAAGAGACCTCAACACAAAGCAAATGAGGCAAAGCAAGGCGAGTTTCTTGGCAACGTATCAAAATATAGAAAAATCGTCGGTAGACTCTTCAAAGCAAATTGATATGAGCTGGGTCAATTGTGGCTCAGCTTCTTGAGTGGTGTAAATAAATTATCTCATTATTTAACAAAAACTGTGTATCTCTTTGTAAATAAATTTAACTTACACGGACTATTTTTAGCTGAGTTTCATAACACGAACACGAGTAAGCGTTAAGGGCAGTGTAGTCCATGGGTCGGAGTAGGTTCTCGATACCACTCATCTAATAGCGATCGCGAAAGAGTAGCTTTCACCGTTTTTTTACTGAAGTTAATGTCAATAACCAGGGAAAAATAACAACAACAACAAGGAAATGTTGCAGTGAAGTAAAAAAACAGAGCCATAAATCAAAACTGGGTTTAACTTTACATCGCAACGATTCAGTAACAAATGGAGAAAGTTATTGAAAAAGATTTTAACGTAAGGAACAGAAAAAGGAAAATAAGGTAATTTTTAACTTAATATTGAACATTTTTCTTGATTAATCGCAAGTAGTTTTCACAAGTAATGTTTGAATTATGAAGTTAATAGTAATAAAAGGAAATTGCAAAAAGGCATCTCTTGTAGTTCATGCCTTTGTTAGTGCTAAGGGGATGTACATAAATTTGATACCCGTATGGGACAAGGGACAAAGGGGAGGGGGAAGGTTCTTTATAAAAGAACAATGGGAGAAATCATTGTTACCCTTAGGACCTGATAGTAATAATGGATACCTTTTGCATTGATGTACAAAAATTGCTCTGAAAAAATTCATATTCACATTCCGCTGGTAAATGAAGTTATCGATAAAATGTGTAAACACGCTGGGCAGTTAACTTCGCACGGTTAACATTTTTTTTTCCGTAAATGAATCCGTCGGAACTGTTGCAGAATAAAGCCTGGTAATAAAACCACATGCTGTAATATTGCCCATCGTTTCCAGTTGCCGGATTGTATTATTTATCCTGTCGTTGTCATCTGTTCGGCAGAAGGAAGTGAATAACGTTTTCGTACACCGCAAATGTGAGTGCACGTGCTGGCGTTACTCTGAAAAGAACCAAAATCAAGAACAATCAAACACACAATACACAGTAAAATCAACAATGAACGTTCTTACATAGATTACAGGGTTTCAGGGTTTCTTCTAAAGCGCTTCTTTGCTAGATTTCCGAAATTTGGAAAAAAAAAAACAGAAAACCGCTAAAACTTACACTAACGCACAAATACTTGTGATAACGATAAGTATCTTAATTATTTCACAGTATTCGAACAAGTAACTGACGAAAACAATGACACGACACCTACTCCGAATTTTGTAGCCTCTTAATGTATCTATCACCAGTCTCTTCTCCCCAGTTTCTCACAGACTAGAATGTGCAAATAAGTTCAACACCTTATGGGGTACACCCCATCTCTTAAGACCCTTTTCTTTAAGAAGCGCCACCTAAAATTAAAGATGGGAGCCCACTAAGCCCTCTTGGCCAATTCTAGATTATTCATTGCGGTTTAACACATAAAACTAACTAGCAAATCTACTTACATCATCAAATTTATCTTTAACATTCTTCCTTACCTGAGGACACTGGGAATTAATCCTTTGTAAAATCCTGTTACTCCTTCATGCCTAAGATTTTGAAAAGAACCTGCCGTAAGAAGAGGCCAGAAAAAGAATACCTTCTTTCATGAAAATGTGGACTTTACCACTAAGCCGTAAGTGAATCCGAAAATTGGATCCAGTACTCAAACAAGCTGGTTTCAGTTCTCCGCCAATTTTGGTCCAGTTCTTTGTCAATTTGTTTCAAACGGGCAAAACATGTACCTCTATTTAATGTAGAGGGTTTGAAACTAGAGATGGAAAGCTAGTCTGTGACGTATCGAAAACTTTAAGTTCTCATATCAAGTTCCAACTTACCTGAGAGTCTTACTAATCACATCCAACGCGCCTTTGTATTCGACCATCGTGTACTGATTCTTTAGAAAAGTAAAATTCATGAACAATAAATGACAGCAGGAAACAGTAAATACTGAACGATTTAACAAAACAGACTTGCTTAGAGACAGCTCCTGATATATTTAAGAATGGCTGCCTGTCAGGATCGAGAATTGTCCGTCAACGACCATTTTGGTGAATTGCTCATATTTTGCTCAAAGATACCCTTTGATAAACTATTTTCAAAAATCATGTTTTTAAGTTTCAGCGATTATTAAATTTTCATAAATTTGCGAAAACGCGGTTTTCAGGCTTCCGGAGCTCAGGCTCCGCATGACGCACAGTCAAAAATTAACTGCAAAAACCAAGCCCCGTTTAAGGATGAAAATGGAATCAATCAACACCAAACTTCACACGATATTAGGACAGCTATTCTCATTCAATTCTAGTGAGTAATTTTTTTTGGGCACATCGATTTTGGGATTACTTAAGCCCTTGAAAGAACATCCTCACAGACCGCGTAAAATGGCAGCGAAAAACGGGTGATATTTCACGCGAAAAAAATGTACCTGGTACCACATATTTTAGATTTTCAACAACATATTCGTGAAATATTGCTATTTTCCATTCATTGTGGAAAGTGTGATGCTCGGAATCGCATTGCTTCCTTTCGAAAATGGCAGAAGTGTTTGTGACTTGAGCGAGCAAAATGATGCAAAGTGTGTAAACAAACGACAAGGTAATTTAATCATATCGAGTTGTTAAATCTCCAAATTAAATCCGGCCTCTGCTGTGTCGGTTTGTAGCTCGGAAAATGTAAAGTAAATTATTCCGTAAGATATTTAAAAAGGTTATACAAAATATTTTTTGGCTAAAAATCTGCAAGTGAAGTACATATTACATTAGCACCAACTCACATTCAAGTAATGCAAAAGATACATTCGAGAGAAGCTACTTAGTAGATTAGTACTTGATTCCATGCTGATAAATTAGATTTTTTTTATCTTTTACTTTGAGAACTCATTTTCTGTAGGTTTAAATACATGGAAAGGCGACTTTTGACCTTCAAAGTAATTAAATGCAAGGCGACAGTTCTTGTTATCCTAGTGATTATCAATGTCACGCAACGTAACGCCATTGGAAACGTGTCGGGGGTGCTGAAACATACCCGCGTAGAAACCGCAAATGAAATAATTATGTCGTTAAATTCTAGAAAGAAATCCCGCACTTCAAAATGAGCTGAAAGAAATGTAGGTTGAATACTCTCACGTCTGTCAGTTTGCATGTGTCAGCTACCAGATGAGTAAACTTCATTACCGATGTGAAGACCAGAAAAGGAAAGTGAGGGTCAATATTGGCATGATTAAAAGAAAAACAGAACAAAACGAAAGAACTTCTAATTACTCTACGAGCTTTAAAAATGAGATAACTAGTAACTGACGATTAGGAACGAGTCACCGTTAATTCGTTTCTTCCTCACTTTTCTATTCTGCTAAACTAAAGAGAAAGTCAGCATCACGATGACTTTTGGCAAGTACATTTGCTGACAATCTCTTTCAGTAGAGCCAAGTACGGGGCCTTTTTTATGCATGGGCTTTGATGGTATATCGAGGCCAAGGTCTTCACACATGTGCTGCAGCATGGGTAGCTTCAAGATCTTCAAAGAGTCATTTAGCGCCATTTCACAAAGATCGTACTGATCGTAGATCAGGGGATGGTCAAGTTGTATTGACGCGACAGTCTCCTTTTGCTTCGCTAAAATTACTCTCCTCTTGAGCTGCTCGGATATCAGCCTCATCAGGATCTCTCTGGCGTACTAAGGCACTCTGTCTTGAGAAGAAGGAGGTGATCTGGGTGGTTGTGAGGAATTCCGATGACTGGAATAGTCGTGCACCATCGGTGCCCCGGCACGCCGCATTTCTCGAGCAACTACCTCTGCGTCAAGCTTGTGGCCTGTCGTCTGCCCTATTCGAAATTTAGATAAAAGGTACGACTTTTGCTTTTCACTGAACCTGTAAGCCTTCCTTACTACTCTAAGAGCCCATCCTTCTTTCAGAGAAACACGAGAATCTTCCTGTCGTACAGGGGCTTGAAGCGATGGCAGCTTTCCCACACCTTCCACCAAATACGATTTGTAGCCAATTTTTGCCAAGTCCATTAAAGAATTTTTTTCTGGTACCCTGGTACATTTTTCAAGTGACAAGTGCTTTTCTAAGGCTGAAAGCCTTTGAAAAACACGAGTGCAGCCGTCTTGAGGACATGAATACACCCCTGCTGCCTGACCACGTTCTATGGAAGCTGTCTCTTCAGACACATTTTCTTCCCCTGACGATTTGTGGGGGGTAATTTTATAGGAACGGAAATCTCCTGCAGAAAATGATGGCTGCAGAATCCCTTGTCCAGGACCTTCAAAAGATATAAGAGAAATATAAATATGACAGCCACACAGCTAAGAAATAATTATCTTGCATCAACGCGTAGCCCTCAAAGGCAGCCCACGACAGAATACCGTGTAAGAGGGGTTTAAAATACTCACCCCTTTTTCTTGTGTTTTGTTTGTTTGAGCAGCGTTTTGTAAACATTTAATCTCTTATGGAAAGTCTTTTATGATGCATTGCGGATAAAATTTTTCCCTTATTAATAGAAACCTTACAGAACAGACTGTCATAAACTAGCAGAAAGGCCTGGGCTCATTCAAGAACCATTAACTCACCAGAAGAGGATTTTTCAATTTTGATCACTTTCCCTTGGCCGACGGAATATGCACGCCAACAGGAAATAGAGCCCACTGAACTAAACTCAAAGTTGTTCAACTTGGTGATTCCTGTTATGGTTTGCACATCGTCTGGCGTTTCTTCGATGGTATCCAGAGAAACCACTCGTACACCTTCCAAACCGCCATGGGATAGCAGAGCTTCCTTCAGGTCGCTGGCGGTGCAGACATCATGGCCTTCATTAATAAATGCTCTAATGTGGCTTTTACAGCTCGCAGCTAGTCTATCTGCAGCCCCTTTCCCGCCTTGCGGGTCGCTGAAATCAACGCGGACTATCTTCACTCCGGTGTTCGTTGAAATTTCTTGGCACTTCGTTAACGTGCGGGAGGAGTGGTAGCAGCTGGCGTTATCTTGCCTGAAGTAGGCCTTGTTGATTTCAGGATACTCTTGCTTCAATGTGGCTAGAACATGTTGCATAATCGCGGTAACAGCAGAACTTCCTTGGGTACAGGACTGAATCACATGGATAAAGGCTTGCCACTGTAGCACACCCTCCATTCGTCTGTATACCACAGATATGTGCCAAGAAATACCCCGCTTACCAAACCAGTCTGTCTGTGACTCGCGGTATCTCTGAGGCAAGAACTTCATGGCCCAGTCATTTACAATGAATACTGTTCCAGAATTAAGGGCATCGATGACGTCCAAACGAGCCTGATCTTGATGGGTCGACCTCAGCAAATGGCACTTCCATGACTTGATGGCAAGCGTAGCAGAGCTAACGAGAAACAAAGCTTCGTCTTTGTCTTCTTCTGTGGTAAAAGATGCTTCATCGACCGCAGTAGATATGTCGTTCAGGGTCGAATGCAAGCTTTCACATTGGTCACAGAGCTCATCATGGTTGTGTTTGCATTGCTGCCGCAGGTCAGAATCTTCGGTGTCACTCAGAGCAAATACACTGCAATGACTTGCAACGGGAGAAGAAGAGCTCACGTGAACCTGAGTGAAAATAGGAAACACAGCTTGACACAAAGCATGGATTACCATGTTACTGCAACATTAACGACAAAAAATATTTGCAATATGTATGCTTCATGTTATCTAAATCGAATAACCTCAATAATCTGAGAAGACAAAATCTATTACAAGCATAATTTATACTGATAAAAAACGAATACCAAGAGCAAAAACCGACGTATATTTCCCAGTCAGGGTGGACCTGTCATCGGAACGGTTTTTTCGTGCCATGCTTCCATCCATTTGTGAAATAAGATAACCCTGCTTGAAAAACATAATCCAATTTTCTTGGAATTCTTGACACTTTCGGTTGCTTACCTTGAAATCACCCTTCAGGTAGAATTTGGCGACCTTTAATGATTTCACGTATCGCACTTGCCACTCCTTTCCACGACCAAGCTCCCCCAATTGAAGAACCAAGCCTTCTAGTTCATCGAACGCACGCGCCCCGTCTGCTGCAAAATAGTCAAGGCCTTGGAGAGACTTTCTGGTCGAGGCCTTGCATTCATTTAGAACACGCAGCATCGTCCGCTCGCTGAACGCCTCAAATCCAGTCTCTTTGCAGTACTGGGTATACTGACGCACTATCCTTTGCGGTATCATGGTGCGAATAACATTGGGTACTTCAACCAGTTGTCCAGAGGAGAGCTTCAGTGTTTTTTGTCCAAATGGCAGATCTTGCACCAAATGGGGGCTTGTTATATAAGATAAAAAGTGATCCAGTTGTCTTGGGTCGACTCTTATCTTTGATGAAGGCTGGGGGGTCACTGAAGCGCCGCTTCCGTGCTGAAGACGATGCAGATTAGCTATGGTAAAACGATATCTACTTAAGCCAGGTATGAATCTCGAGATATCATTATAATTGGAAACACCACTCATCATCGAAAGAATTTGCCGTCTTGTGTCCCACCCATGGGCTTTGTCATATGCCTCAGCTAAGACCTGGAGGTAGCATTTGGAAGTTTCGGAGAGTTCGTCCAGCCCGAGTGCTTCGTTCATGGCAGGATAAGAGACGACTGCTTGCCAAAGAGAACCTGCACAACTGGGTGTTAGGTCGTGGAGCACAGAAGAAAAAATCTCTGCGGTTCGTCTAGTATACCGAAGCTTAGTGCTGTCACTGGCCTTTTCCCACTCAACCCAAGGTTGAGAGACAGGTTCAATGTTTTTGGACACCAGATACTCGTTCAACTTTTCACGGGAATTTGGCTTTGAGGTGATGCTCTCTTCACTCGTTGAGGAGACGAGGCTTGCAGTATCGGGACTGAGAAACGTCTCGTCATCCTTCAACCCCTGGGATGATATTTCCAGAAACATCAAGTCCGTCTCTAGACCATCAGAAGATGACTCACTGCCAGCACTTGATTCCTCTCCTGGACAGTCTGTTTCCATCTCATGAACCTACGAAAAGGTTTGCTCTATAAGCATCAAATCTCTAAAACCGATTTCTTTGTATATGTTTGTAGGGAATCAGTTTCGGGTAATAAAAAATCTCAGCAGCACCAGGTACTGTTTCGGGACATCCAGAAAACAAACAAATGTGGGACAGGAATTAGCCTACCAAAGTGCGGCATAGCACCGCTCTCCTTCCCCACCCCTCATATAAAAAAAGTGACCGAAAAGCAGCGAGTTTTACTGGTCAACGAAGGAGCCTTGTCCCAGATTAACAACTGTGTTTGTCACGCTGTGTTTGTGTTTGTCACGTGTTTTTTCTTCCTCGATTTTTTTTCAAATTTCTATGCTCTTCTAAAAATGACTCTTTTCCTTTTAAAAAACAAGATTGAGATCATCAATTCATATTTGAAGCTTACCATTGTCTGTTGTTCAGGTATCTGCACCACTCGAGGCTCTTTAGGGGTAGACACAGTACTTGCTCCAGCGCCCTCCGCCGGCGTCTGTTCATCTGCAACTTGCCTGCAGATAAACTCGTCGCATCGCCAACAAATTGCTTTTATTAAAAAAAGGCAAAGTAAATAACTCATATCAATTACTATTTCTAGGTATAAAGTAATCAATCTGTCATCAATCAATGGATTATCAGCTACTCAGACGAGAAAAAAACGTTGGCAATATAAATTGCAGTTTCCTCACAAATATAAAATTTGCTAGCTTGAGAAAGTTGAAACTTATAGTGCTTTTTTTTGTGTAAGGTATTACAAATAAACGTGAGAAAAAGCAATTTCATGAGAACATTTATCAACAGAAGCAATTCAATTTACGCGACCCAACTGGAACTAAGGTGTTGGTGTTGCAAAAAATATACATCGATTTTCGGCTATCCACACGGTTGCTTCCTTTGGCACTTGAGGACTTATGTGTCGCTAGATCCTTGGGAATTGCACAAAGGGTTTTCCTAGTCCTCCAACGTATGCCAAAGTCTGCCCTATGGCGTGGGCAAATGGTCAGGGTAAGATGTTTTTGCTCAAATGAGAAAACACCTGTAAACAAAAATAAAACACCAATTAAATCTGTTGCAGCACTCATTCATAAGCACAATAAAGTTACCTGAAAACACAAAATCAATATTTACCGGCTCTGGCTAATAGCAGCTTCATTTCAGTTCTAGAACCTTCATCTGCACTCAGTCCAAGAGTCGATAGATGTCCAGTTACATCTTTCGTGCAATCCTCGAGTGTAATGCATTCCACCTGACCAGGATAATCAGGAGATCGCCCGCAAGGGGTCACCTTACCAACTAGCGTTATATAGCTACAGAGAGCCATAAAATGACAAGAAATAATAACTTCTGATGAGAGCACGTATGAAAGCTCAAGACTCGTCCGTGAAATAACTTTCCTTAGATCTGTTACGAAATTTCAACCATTTGCGCAAGAGCTTCGTGGGCAGTGATGACGTGACAGGCTTTACCACGAGAGAAAATTGTGTTTGAATTACAGCATCTTGGTCTAGATGGTGCGAGATGTTGGAAGCTCAATGAAAATTCATCTGAGATTGAAGTATAATAGTGTTATCGTGTAGTTATCAGACCTTGAGTAAAGTTTTTGTTTTCAGTCTTTGGTATATTTCATGATGACAGCCCATTTAGGGTCTCATGTGGTGCGGCCAGTGTTTGTTGGGACCGGATGTCGGTTAATTATGATAAATAGGAACAATTCGCGTTAATACACTGAACTGCTTGTAAAGAATGCTGTTCTCCTTCTGTATTCGCTGGAATTCTTGATTTATATATACATATATATCTAAAACAAACTAAAACAAAGCCCTTGCAGATGAAATGTTTAAAAGTCATTCAACAGACTGATCAATTGTCACAATTTTCGTAATCGTAATACTTGTAATGGTGATCGATGAAATGACTGTAAGAACATTTTCGACGATGATTTTATTTTCTCTCAGCTCTCACACAACTCTGAATGTACGACTTCACTATAACTCAATATTTTGTGGAATACAAGTCAAACATTTCCAGAATTAAAGTTTATTTTAAAACCTTTTCCACCAGGGAAGGAATGATAAGATTAGCGTTTGTTTACACAACACACATCATTTTGCTCGCTCTGGACACAAACATTTGTGGTATTTTCGAAGGGAAGCGGTCCGATTCAAAGCATCAAAGTTTACTCAGGAAATAAATAGTATCATTATATTACGAATATCAAGTTAAAAAATTGAAAAATGAGGTACCAGGTACACTTTTATCGCGTTAAATTTAACCTATTTTTTGCTGTCATATTAAGCGCTCTTTGAGGGTGTTGCTAAGAAGACTTAAAAATTCTCAGTATCAATGTGTACAGAAAAATTAACATAGTGAAAATGGATGGGAAGGCTTTTTCTTATATCGTGTGAAGTTTGGTGTCAATTGGATTCATTTTAAGCCTTCAACGGAGCTTGGTTTTTGCAGTGAATTTTGGACAATTTGATAGGCGGAAAACCGCACTTAAACCGCGTTTTCAAATTTTCGTCAATTTCTAAAAATTTAATAATCGTCGGAACTTTTAAACTTGATTTTTGAAAATAGTTTACCAAAGAGTATCATTGGGCAAAATATGAGCAATTCACCAAAATGGTCGTTGACGGACGATTCTCGATCCTAACAGGCAGCCATTCTTAATTGGTTTTAGCTAATTTTATAGGCACAGAATCAAAAACTTTACGCCATGCGTTCCCATGACCATCTTGGATCCTTGATTCTTAGGAGGAATGAAAAGAGTGAAAGAGGGTGAAAGCTTCTCTCCTTCATGAGAATTGATATTTATCCACATTGTGGGGTTTCCCTAGCCTTTTGTTAGTGCCCATTTGAACCACTGGGAGGGGGGTGTGGGGGCTAACGAATCTTTTCCCAAGGAACCAGCACAGTGACCTAGCTGAGGCTGGAGGCTCGAGCACAGGCCACATCAACCTAGGGTCCAGTAAACCAACTGATGAGATTACCGGCCTGAAAACTAAAAATAACCTTAAACTACAAGTTTATTTCAAGATAATAGCATACAAAAGTAAAACAAAATCGATTTCAAAAGGTTAACAATTTGCTAATGAATCTCCCATTCTAACCTGAAGTCCTGCTCTAACCACTTGATACGGATATGTCGCTGTTGCGGCGAAAATTTTCGACAGTGAAGCCATTACAAGGTACTCAGTTGAACTCTATGGAGAAAATGAAAGTTAGCCAAACATAAATTAGAGAGGAAAACACTTTATATTAAAAAAAAAATAATAACTACTGTATTTTCAGCATTTCAGAGTGATTCCCAAGATAACCCATGGTTACAGAATAATAAACGTCATCCTATTAGTACCTTCCTACCAGCCACATGTACAACAAAGGTAATAGAGGTTGTATTTTGGGCGTCAGTTGTAGCTTCAAAATGCTGAAGCTCGTCATGGAGGATGACTACTCAAGATGAGAAGCCAAAAACTTCCCCCACCCTTCCCTCTCTCATGTTCTCTTTTTACATTCGCCACTGGCCATTACACGTGTTCGTGATGACCCTTTACACCCTATCATCAGTATCCATATTCTCCATACTGTTCTCTGTACATTTCCAAAGATACTGACAAGGAGAATTTCTTAAACAGTCAAGAACTTTTTCGGTGGCTGAATATTTCCTCTATTCTCATGACCTCCATGTGTGATTCAGAGGTGATATTGTAAGGAGAAGTTAGATGTCAGTCAATCTTGGGGAGGGGGGGGGACAAAGGTTGGTTCTTATCAATCCTTCTGGGTGGAGAGGGGAGTTGAGAGTAAAGTTTCGTTTCAGTAATGACAACACATCAGTCATCCACCCTAAGCTATTAACATGATCAGAGTAAAAGCACTTCACATGTTTTGTATGTCAAGGTTTAAGACCAAGAGTTTCTTGTTTGTTAACTCAGTTGAATTTGTGAGCTTTAACACGTATACAATCAACTATACAGACACGTGCAGACAGTATTCACCAGCTTCTTGTTGATTGGTGTTCCAAAATATTGACTGTAGCCTTTCTTCAGCTCCTCATAGGCCATGAATTGCAGTGCTACGTGTGATACACCAAAAATACCTGGAACGTAACCCTGGTCAAGTAAAATATAATGATATGAGCAAACTTCATGTTCCATCCAAACACATAAACTCAGGTAAACTCTAAGCTAGGCAAAGATAGCGAGGTCTTAACTCTAAGACTGATGTTTGTGCTTCTCTTTTTTGTTCTTGCTCTTTCCTTCCCTTTTCTCTTTTTGATTGTTTTTTTCCTCCTTTTTAAGGAGGTTTGAAAACCACTGTTGGCTGTGCATATCCAGCAACCAAAACATACCAACTACAACATTGAAATGTTTTACATTAAGTCTCAAAAGTGAATATCAAAGACATAATTGGGATTGCATCATGCAGACCTATATTTGTAAGATACCTAAAGTTCTCTGCAATCAGAGTACCAAACAATGAGTCACTTAAAAAAATAGGCCCAATGTATTGGTGTACAGTTTTCAAATTGTGCTCCATAAGAACACTTTCACACTTCCACTATTGAATCTCCCATGTACATTTAAGAACTAAAGACTATATATATATATATATATATTTAATAATTCCTCTATTATACTACATTTTATTCCATTATTTTTTTTTTGTACTTAAGCTCAAGGTATTAAGGTACACATGGAGCGGTACACACCACTTGTGACTTCTTGGATTTGGTTGACTTTATTAGAGACCAATACCCTGCATACTTCACCACAAGACCAGCACACACGGTCAAAATAATCTCAATTTTTAACTTGATCAATCAATAAAAAAGCTGTCAACCGATATATATCAAGGTAACCTTGTATAAATCTCTCAACTCCTCATGTCTCCACGACTTTAACAGAGCATCTGTAAAAAACAAGGAGTACAAAATAAGTCATGCATCTGGATTTCATGTTAGTGAGGAATTGGTAAGCACAATTACATGCGCCACCACCTTGATTCCAGTTCACAGTGATTGAGAAAAGTATCAAACAATTTATTATTCACTGCTGAATCAACGTTTGGCTTATAAAAAACTAAAGAAATGATCACAAACTTGAAAGAGCTCTTGATTTTTAACTACATTGTCCTTGTAAGTTGCATGTCTGAAATGTATCAAGAATAGTACGGGGGAAATACATACTGATGGAAGTATGTAAATGGTTCACTTTTCTTTTTTCTCTCTTAGGTAAAAGGTGTCATTCATCTTTGCAAACAAATATCTTACCAAAAATTCATTTTTGACTGAGGTGTTTGTGTTTTTTTTTCAGCAAGGGAATCAGAATACTAGAGACATAAGCGAGTTTTGACCACCCATATTGAATTTGTTAGGTAACCTGGTACAAACCACCAAAAAGTTAATTCATCGTTCTAATTAGCAAATAGATGGACCTTAATCGTTGGAAAGTAAGTCAACGTGATATAACTTAAAACTTTTCCTAAAATGATCTCAAAAATAACGGAAAACAGTCGGTTACTCGCCAAACATACAATTATCCATTTGTTTAAAATTGATCAGCGCACTTGAATGAATGTGTAAAGGGCATCGCATGAATTAATGTCCGATAACATCTCGAACCGTGAACACGACCCTGAGAGTGACGCTAAATGAGCACGCTTCAAACTTCGAGTCTCTCAACGGAGACAAACACCCTGTCCCAGATGCTTTTTTCGAAACATATTCACAATTCTTTCATTAAATTTTTTTTACAAACAAAACAAGATTATAAAGACTGCCTCGATAAGCTCGTCCGTGGAAAAGCGCCAGAGTTTGCCCGAGAGGTTTCAGAATTCAGACCACATGTACATGCTCTAAATTTAAATTCAAATAAAAGATTATTTGGGACTAGGAGTTATTAGGATCGCACAAGTTATTAGTAAACTACACAGCCACGGAATTTAGAAAAGGAACTAAAACTGCATAGTTTCTTTGAGATCAGCTTAGATTTATAAGGCCTATTTGGTGCACCGTTTTATTTTGTCCCTTGTTAGAAGCGCTGTTTCACAGTATTTTTTTTTGTTTGTGTTCAGTCATTTGCGGCGGTGAAATATCGCTCTCAAAAATCTCATACTTTCAAAATATGGCCAACATTTATCAAATAGAACATAAAAACCACGATATTTCCATAGGGACATTTTTTAATACAATAGCTTTCCCTCGACGGCTTTGAGGTTTTGCGGTGCCTTGAAGGAGATCAAATGAAAAAGAGCACAAAAAAATTAGCCAAATCTCGTGCAGCAACTTCTTTATTCTCCATGTGTAGAGGGCTGGATTAGTCTTTAAGACGAATATCAACATTTAGACAAAGTAATTGATAGCATGAATCATGAGGTTCATTTTGGATAAATGATTCTAGACAACTTTTCTCTCAAATATTGATAACTGGGTTCAGTCAACAAAACATTGTTTTGGAATAAATATTAAGAGAATAAAGTTCAAATTGCTTGACCGGTCGTGCTTCTTTTCTGCTTTGAAAAGTGGAATATTCAGGACTTAATTATCTTCAAGCGGCACGGGTCCGGCGGTTGTAATTTACGTCCATGGGGGCGTCTTTCCTACAGTAGAAACCTCATAAAAAATAAATGTCCTCAATGCATCAATTTTTGGTCACGGAACCATAGTTAAAACAATTTTTAAGGACTTAACTCGGGCTCAAGTTTCAATGCACAAAGGTTGTGCATTAAGAAACGAAACTACTTGGCGACGATTTGACGCAAAAATCTCTGAGGGGGCTTTTCTTAAGTCAACACATAATTCTGAAATATTTGAGGGCACTCGTCTTTGAGCGGGAGGTGAAATAGATATCTTTTGGGCTTGATTTTAATAATATCAGTCCTTTTGCAATTCTCATTTCACTTTGCAGCTGATCCTTGCTATCATTATGAAAACCTGAGTGAAGCCAATAGAAAGATAGATTACCTTACACCTCCCGGTTCAGAATTGTATGACTACAAACTCCCTGAGGGATGGTATCGTTTTGTGGGAGGTGCGGGAACAAAAATGCCAACAACACGTGTGCCAGCATACAGATGTGGTACAGACTGGTTGAATGGTGTTCATCCTACAGTGCAAGATGGTGAAGTTCAAATGAAGGTCTGCTTTAGTAATCATCTATCTGAGCTCCCGGTTTGCAAATACTCAACAACGAATTTTGTGAAAAAACTGTGGATCCTACTTCATCTACAAACTTCACCACCCACCTGGTTGTGATTCACGCTACTGTGGTACAGACTGAATGCGAAGCAAATATACATGGCGCAGTAAGAGGACTCATAAATCGCTCCGTAACTACATGTGTGTAAGTTTTTTAACATGTGACCTACTTAACCTTTTTTTCTCTATCGTGAACATTATCAGCAGATTTTAACTTTGGTGGCAAACAGGTATTTATTTCATTATAATGATAATTCTCATCAGAGAGCCCCTGTTATCGAAGAGAGTTCAAGGATCTTCAAGGTAATCTTCAAATAAAATCTGCATGACGCAAACTCTCAAGCTGATGGTTTTCGAGCCTTTAATTGTGAATTTCTTTTTTTAGTATATATTTTTAAAATCCTACTTTAGCTGTAATTATTAACCATGGTTATTTTAGCGTAGGTTGACGGAATACAAGGAGGCGCTGTCTTACAATATCGGCGTAGAAAAAAAAAAAGTAAAGACAGTCAAAATCTGATGTCCTATGAAATTACACAAAGTTAACGTAATAATTGTGACTCAGTATTTTGGAACGTTAAACAAATTTCCAGACACGCAGTAAGCAAATTTCAATGGTTTACCCTGCGTAACCGTTATTTAATTAAGCGCACAGGCACTCCATTCATTCAAGATGAAATTTGTCAAAACAATTTTTGCAGCAATTTGTATAGGTAATCAGGCGTTACGAGTGCAATTTGGGAGAAATCAGCACGAGTAAATTTTCAAAAAGCTAACCAAATTGCATAAGCCATTGGGGCGAGTGCAACATGCATGAGTACGATTACGTTTAAAAACTGCATGTAGTTTTTAAAAGTTGACCAGTTTTTCAAAGTTTAATGTTTTCCTACAACAGAAACGCAAAAAGAAAAATATTCGAAGCCGCGATGTGCTAAAAATTAGACTTAGAGTAGTATAGGTGAGTTGTAAGGTGTTGTAAACAACTTTGTACACCGTTCAAGCACATCACCAACAATTTTTCACAGAAATGTTAGATTTGAAATCAAAATCACAGTTTCTCATTGTGAAATTTTCCTTGTTTTAACCTGCAAAAATGTTTAAAGAATCCTATGAAAAATAATGAGCGCTGGAGAAAAACCCGCAAGAGCCGCTTCTTTTCTAAGACTAGTCTTTGAATCATTTCATGTTTATTTGTTTCTAATTTACAAGAAGAGACCCGAACACAAAGCAAATGAGGCAAAACAAGGCGAGTTTATTAACAACGTATCAAACTATCCAAAAATCGTTGGTGCTCTTTTCAAAGGAAAGTGATATGAGCTGAGTCACTTTGTGACTCAGCTGCTTGAGTGGTAGAAGGGCATCGCATATGTAATCTCATCATTTAGCAAAAACTTTATCCCTTTGTAAATACATTTAACTTACACGGATTTTTTTATGTAGTCCATATGCCAGAGTAGGTTCTCGGTACCACTCATCTAATGAAATGTTATGTAAAAGACTCTTCAAATTCACTTGATAGCAATCGCGAAAGAGTAGCTTTTACCATAATATCAGTAACCAGGGAAAATGACAACAACAACAAATAAATGTTCGGGTAAATGCACGAAACCAGAACCCAGTAAGGCAAAAACAAAGTAATCAATAAAAACTGGTTTTAACTTTACATCACAACAATTCAGTAATAAATGAAGAAACTTATTGTAAAAGATCGTAACGTAAGGAACAGGAAAAGGAGAGTAAGATAGTTTTCTTTAGAACTGTCACAATTAATTTAATATTGAACATTTTCCGTGATTAAATTGCAGGTAATTCTCCCACAAGTAGTGTTAGAATTCAATTGTCAATTATTATTAAATAAACAGCAAT